GACCTCAGACTGAGGAAGTCTCTCGGATGAGAGACGAAACGTTTCTACATTTTTTGTTGATTTGCTTTGTTTTGTTTTTTTGAATGTCCAGAGGACCAGATTTAACTTTTTTAGATTTTTCTACCTGGATTATTGAGCATGCATCAGGAAACCCTTCAATAAGTGAAATGTTTATCATATTGCAGTGAAAAAAATAAATAAACTTTTAACACAAAATGAAAACGATACCTTCCAGAAAATTTTGTCAAAATTTTCTATATTTCTATTTTCATTTGGTCTCAAAAATCTTATTTACTGGCAGGCATGTCAAAAGATTTGTTCCATTGATCAGATCACCTTACAAAAAACATTGTATATAAAAATAAGTATCACTTTAAATTCAACTTGTACCTTCAGTTATTTTAGACCTACAGCAGTGGCATCAAAACTTAAATAAAACAGACTTAGAAATAAATGGAGCTTTTAAAAAAGCATTAACCATTAAGTTACAGTTGGGCCCCCAAGTTAGTCCTTTAAAATAAATGAGGCCTTCACTTTTACAAATGTTTGATTTTTGATGTGAGGATAAAGCGAATAATATAAAAAGCATGGAGGTGTTTTTTTTTTTAAATCCCACGTGAAAATTAATAATGGAATTCATCCATCCATTGTCTTTTACCCGCTTCTTCCATTTTGGGTCACGGGGGTCGCCGTTGCCCATGTCCAGCAATCACTGTGCGAGGGGCGGGGTACACCCTGGACGGGTCGCAAGTCCATCACAGGGACACACAGAGACAAACGAGACAAACAACCATTCACTCTCTCACTCACACCTAGGGACAATTTAGAGTTACCAATCAGCCTTAATGGAATTCAATTAGTTTATTTATATAGTGCCAAGTCACAACAGGAGTCCTCTCAAGAGCACTGAACAGAAACATTCATATACATAAAAACTAAGTTAACGCTATCTGAGGAGCAGACTAATAACAAAGAACACCAAGTCGTTTTATTTATGTATTTATTTTTGGCTTGGGTCAAACCTGAAAATGTGATACGCAGTTCAAAAGTGTAACAGTAGGGGGCAGCATTGTCCCTCCGAGGTGATTTCTGCCGTAAATTTAAAGCGAAGAAGAACGATGTGACGTCATTGTTTACAATAGACCAATGTAGCTGTTCTGCTGCAGCTTCTTGTTTAGCGGTTTTAAGCCTTCAAGCGTACATTTTACCCTTTCCGTGCTATGTGAACATGTTGGCCAGTTATAATACAATACTGATTCTGCACAAAAAAGGTAAAATATTATTTTTGCTCCTAAACATACCGTTAAAACCAGTATATGTGCTAGCTGTTTTAATGACGTTACGTTTTGTTGCTGTCCTCTCTAAGCTAAAGCTACTTTAGCACAATTTTCTACTTTCATTCTTCATTTCATGGTTCTGATATTTTGTATATTTATGTTTAAGTATAAAAACATCCACTAGGGAGCACAAGCCAGAGCATCTGTTGTGCGGGTGTTACACCATGGCAGGGTAAATGTTGAGGGTTGTGTCAGGAAGGGCATCCGTCTTAAAACACTTCTGCCAAAAATGCGAGTTCATCTAAGCGACACCTTACAGGATCGGTCGAGACCCGGGTTAAAAACTGTATTTAAGTATCAAAAATGAACCTAATTGCCCTGCTTGTGTTTGACAGTAATGCCATAGAAGAATCAGGCAGACAGTTTTCTTCATCCAGGAGGAGGAGGAGGAGTTCCCCTCATAAAATGGCTACTGAACTTCACCAGACTATATTTATGGCCAAGAAGGAGCGCCACAAAAACCTGTTTCTGAACTACAAAAACCTGAACATTTTCCCAGTGGAGCTCCTGAAAGATGAAGGACTGCAGTTTTTGGAGAGATTGTACATGAAGAGAAACTCACTCACTACACTGGTATGTTCTCAAGAAGCACAGCTGATTTTGTTTGTGTTGGACACAACAAAACATATTCTCTACATAAATGATCATTTATGCTTTTTTTTTCTTCCGTCTTTTATCAGCCGGACAGTCTTGCTCAGAAGCTCCCAAATCTTGTTGAACTGTAAGGATTCTAGTAAAGTTTGTATTATTATTTTCAGGGGATGACTTAAGACCTCCAAAAATCAGCCTTTTGGCCCTTTTATTGTAGATAATAACTTGATATATATTTTTTATTCTAGGTACTTGCATTCAAACAACATAGTCATCATCCCTGAAGGTAAGTCTAGAGTAATGGGCTGTATCACATCAGGACTGAGTGAAGAGCAGATATGATTAGTTCACTTGCTTGAAGTAAAGTGGGTGATTGATTTGATTTCCAGCGATTGGAAACTTGTCCAGACTGCAGTCGTTAGACCTGAGCAATAACGCCCTCCAGCTCCTCTGTCCAGAGATAGGTCGACTGAGATCGTTACGACACCTGAGACTGTCCAACAACCAACTTAAATGTCTTCCTCCAGGTAAAATAAAGTGGTTTTTTTTTTACTTCAGTTACATGTGTAAAAATTGTGTGGTGTAATAAAAATGTTTTAAATGTTTACTTTGCTTCCATGCAGCCAGATTAGCTTCTAATTTTAAAGTGATCTTGAGCACTATTTCTTCAGACTTTTTGAAGGTTTTTCCAAGTTTTCCTTTGAACATTTACTGTTTTTTTTTTTTAATTATTAGTTTTGTCTTGACTTTTTTCTGCCCAGTCCTTGTACCTGACCATGATAACATTTTGTGCAGTATCGGTTTAACATGTGAGGACAGGGGACACGTGAAGGACAAGAGAAAGTATTAAAAATATCTGCAGCAGGTGAACAGTTTTTGAGTCATGACTTCAAGAAAAAGATTTAACAAATACCTGCTGGAGGACCTGAAAGAGGCAACATCCCTCAGCTGATAGGTTTTTAGGGATCACTATGTTGGTGCTAAAATACCTTTTAATGTTCATGAAACTTATCTGTAGCATTTGGCATTGATAATAAAACTGTAGGTCAGAGTCAAGTAGCTTAACAAAACAAAGAGTATCCTCTTAAAATGGTTAGATCCTCGACTGACAATGAGTGAAAAAGTAGACAAAGCAAACAAAACTGCAATTGAACCACTTTAGAACGTTACACAGAAGATCTTACAAGATAAAGTCAGGTCGTCTGGACGAATTCTTCTTGTTGAAACGTTTCATCTTTTATCCAAAAGACTTCGTCAGTCATTCAGTTACACAGAAGACTATCTTTGAAAGTAAAATATAAAGAACTGGAGGATGATTAAAGACTTTTGCACTGTAATTTAAATATATTGCCATTCAATAGAAGTCACTGATATAAAAGTCTAAAAGCTCAAACCTTAAAATGTCAATGTTCTTTGGGCATAAAAACTTTATGGACTGGCAGATTAAAGAGCACACAGTGTTTAAGTAAGGACTGAATTTAAGCTCACACTATGGTACAAAGCCAGTTCTAGCCCCTAGTAGTAACATTTCTTGTTGTAAAGTCTTGTTTGGCATCTTTTCCTGATGACTCCCATGTTTCCCAAAGACCAGCCTGTGAGAAGTTTAAGGATTTTTATGACCAGCAGAGGGCAGCAGAGCTCTTTGACCAAAATATAGATTGACTGGAAAATCAAGATCTATGTCTAGTTTTACTGAGAATAAATAACTATTGAACATGCAACTCATCCATCCATTATCTTTACCCGCTTCTTCCTTTTCGGGTCTCGAGGGTCACTCGTGCCCATATCCAGCACTGTGCGAGAGGCGGGGGACACTGCAGTCCATCACAGGGACACTTTGAGACAAACGAGACAAACAACCATTCACTCACTCTAAATATGAACATGTCCAAAAGTTTTAAAATCACGTACACAATTTACTGAGTCGAAAAATGCCTAAATGTAATATATAAGTACACACGGTTGCATGTTCAGGCGGCACAATGGCTCAGTTGGTAGAGTGGCTGCCTCTCAGCGAGAAGGTCGCCCGATTGCCAGGGGCATTTCTGGGTGGAGTTTGTGTTCTCTTTGAGCACGCGTGGGTTTCCCCCGGGTACTCCTGTTTCCTCCCACAGACTAAAAACATACATGTTAGGCTGATTGGTAACTCTAAATTGTCCCTAGGTGTGAGTGAGAGTCAGCTGTATTGTCATTGCACCGAAGCACAACAAAATTACATTTCAGTACAGCCTGTTCGAGTAAAACATAAACTGCAGACCTGGGGTGATGGAGGTGTGTGAGGCTGCGGCCTTTTGGGAGGCGCTGCCCTTTTCGTTTAGATAAGGAAAAGAGAAACATGAGGGGAAGGGGAGGTATAAAAAAAATTATATCTGACACTGTGTCCTAGACAGGATACAGTGTGAAAGGTTAAAAGAAAAATCCTCAGCACAGAAACAGCAACATACTGATGACATCATGATACATACTATATATGCATGAGGAGGCTGACGAAGGTGGTGAGTTTGTTCGTGGACACTGCCAGATAGTTCCATAGTCCTAATAAGAGATGGAGCAGTGTCTATCAGCTGGCTCAGCTCTGATACAGGTCCACAGATGTCCTCGGGAAGGGAGCGGTTAGAGGAGGAGAGCAGAGCTTCTTGTTCACATAACATCCAGGAGAGTTTGAGATAGTTGGCCTATTCAAGGCTGACACGGAGGAGCCAGATTCAGATAACAGTTTGGGTTGAGCCAACTCTGTTTGATTTCTGTCTGCCTTATAGTTCTACTGGTACGTCTCAATGGCAACTCCAAACAGCCAAATTCTGTGGTCAGCACCGCTGGTAAAAAAAAAAAAAGTACCATTATTTATTGTGTCTGTGTCCTATTTCTTACCATCAAAATGTTTTACACCCTTTACATTTTATATTCGCCTGTTTGACAAATAAGTTTAATCTGGGGTCAGATAAATTGACCTGTTTCAGGCTAAATATTACTTTTGTACTGTGGGGCTTTTGTTTATTGGCTTAAATCGAACAATTTTGTTAAGTCTAACAAGGTTAAGTCAGGTCCTCTGGATGGATTGTTCTTTGTTGAAACGTTTCACCTTTTATCCAAAAGGCTTCTTCAGGCTGACCGGTCAGGTTCAGAGGGCCTGACTTAGATTTATCTACCTGGATTATTGAGCATGCATCAGGAGATTTTGTCAAGTGCTTTTCCAGGGGCAAGTGTTGCAAATATAAAAAAAAAAATCTGCTCATAGGTACTCATCAGAGAGTTGTTTTTATCTTCATATCTTATTTACTTGTATTTTTATTTTCTTCTGAATGAGGCTAAATAAATAAAACTCCAGGTGAGCCGTTAGAAAATATAAATTAAAAATAAGTGCTGGTTTTGTTAACATCACTGACTTGACTGCGTCTGTCACACACAGAGATTGGTAATTTGCAGGACTTGGAGACTCTGGATGTGGCCATGAACCAGCTGATGTCACTACCGGACCGCCTGCACCGGTGCCTCTCCTTACAGAACCTGACGGTGGACCACAACCTGCTGAGCCACGTTCCCCGGCAGCTCTGCTGGCTGCACCGCCTCAACCAGCTCTCCATGGCAGCAAACAGGCTGACCTTCCTGCCACTCGGTCGGTCCTCTGTCCTGTCAGTTCCTTGCTGCTGTGTTGCAGAGGTGTCTTTGACAGTCGGTGTGTGTTTCAGATCTGGGCAGATCGTGGGAGCTGCAGTTTGTGTTTGTGGACAACAACGTGAACCTAAAGGGGCTCCCATCCTACTTGTACAACAAGGTCATCGGATGCAGCGGGTAACACGCTTCACACACCTGAGATGTTATTTATTGTGTGTATGTTAATGAAGCGTTCACACTATTGTGATCCGTTTTTCATCTGTACGTTTTTCAGCACCTTACTCGTTCCGCAATTTTTGGGCTATTTCAACAAATTATACATCAAAACGTTCAGCTCTTTCAGGACAGTCCTTGGTGCAACTTTAGCTTTTTGAAATATTTAGCCTTTTCTGCCATTTTTTCCTCACATGAAATGAACTGAGCTCATTTTACATTCTTCATATCTTTAGATTTATTTACAACCTTTTACTGCTCCTTTCACATTTTGTTCTGGTTCAGCTTCTTTCAGTTTCCTTGTGCAAATTTAAACTTTTTTCATCTCATTTCAGCTGTTTTTTTTCCAGCTGTCTTGAACTTCCAGATTCTTTCTGCTAACTACATTTTTGTGCTTCTTCTAACTTCTTTCTACTAATTTCAGCTTATTATGCAAGTTTCAGCATTTTCTGATAGTTCAGCTAGTATTTAGTTGTTTTTATGCTAATTTGAGCTTTTTTTTTTACTAAATCCACATTGTTTACACTCCTTTACACTTTTTTCAACCTAAGTAAGCAAAAATGTGCTCTATCCATTTTATTCTGGTAATTTAAGCTTCTTTCTGATTTTTTAGCTACTTTTCAGCTGCTTTTTGCTATTTTCAGCTTTTTACAGATAATATCCACTCATGCTCATTTCTGCTTCTTTCAGCCTAACTGGGCAAATGTGTTCTTTCTGCTTTCTTTGGCTAATTGCAGCTTGTTCTACCTTTTCAGATAACTAACTAGCATTTTTAGCTAATTTCAGCTGTTTTCAGATAAATTCAAGTTTTTCATGGTCATTTTTGCTACTTTCAACCTGATTAACTTATCTATGCTAATTTCAGCTTGCTGTGCTCCTTTCAGCTTTTTTCTGCTAATTTCATTTTTTTTCTGCTCTGTCAGCTACTATTTAGCTTTTTATATGCCAATTTTATCTTTTTCAGCTAATTCCACGTTTTTAAGCTCATTTCAGTTCTTTCAGCTTCCTTCTGGTAGTTTAAGCTTTTGCGTTTTCAGCTACTTTACAGCTATTTTTTTTGTTGTTGCTAATTTCAGCTTTTTTTTGCCATTTTTCCTAATTTTTGTGCTCATTTCTGCTTATGTAAACCTAATTCAGCAAATGTGTGTTCTTTCTGCTTTCTTCTGCTAATTTGGCCTTGTTCTTCTATTAGCTACATTTCAGAATGTTTTTTTAGCTACTTTTAGCTGTTTTTCAGCAAGTTCTTCTGGGTTAACTGGATCTAAACATCAGTTACTTCATCTGAGGACACCGCCTCACCTCAGTGCTGTGTGTTCTGTAGGGAGGCTTCAGCTTCATAATTGTTGCAGAACATTTGCAGCAAAATATCCCCTCAGTTCTAGTGGGCTTTATCTGTGTGTTGCATCTGCACAGATGTGGAGTCTCTTCTTTCGTGCTGGAGCGTGGGGCTCTGAGTGAGGCTCTAGGTGATGTTCTGGTGAGTCTTCCAGCTGAAGTGAAGGTGATCGGCTCGCAGACGGATAACGTGGTTCCTCTGGAGGAACTGGCGATGAGGACTCTGCACCGCCTCTACCACCACCACCCATCAGGTGAGAACACCATATCATACCATTTTATTTATAAAGCACTTTAAACAGCGACGGGGCCAACCAAAGTGCTGTACAAACGGAAACAAACAGGTAAAGCACACAGCAACACATAATGTAAAATCAAAATATAGAAACAAAATAATAGCAGATAATAATGTAATGATTAACACAGTGCGATGAATACAGGTTCCACACAGATCATACAGTGTTCAAAACCAGGGAATAGTAGTAAGTTTTTAAGCAGGATTTGAAAACCGAGAGGGAGGGGGCCTGTCTGACAAGCAGAGGTAACTCGTTCCAAAGTCTTAGGCCTGCGACAGCGAAGGCCCTGTCACCTCTGCGCTTAAAACAGGTTCCTGGAACTGAGAGAAGCAACTGGTCTGCTGACCTCAGAACATGGTGGGACATATGGCTGCAGCAGATCAGCGAGACAGGAGGGGGCAGAACTGTTCAGTGATTTAAAAACATACAGAAGGATTTTAAACTGGATTCTAAGGTGAACCAGTGCAGTGAGGCCAAAACTGGTGTAATGAGCTCTCTTTTGCCTGTACTGGTTAAAAATCAGGCTGCAGCATTCTGGACCAGTTGTAGTCGTGCAATGAAGGTCTGACTGATACCAAACAGGAGTGAGTTGCAGTAATCGAGTCTGGATGTAATGAATGCATGTATTACTGTCTCCAGGTTATTTTTGAACAATATGGGCTTCAGTTTAGACAGCTGCCTCAGTTGGAAGAAGCATGATTTAACAATCATGTTTACATGACTGTTGAGTTTCAAGGAAGGGTCCATTATCACTCCCAGATTAGTGACTCTGTTTTTCTGACAGGGTTAGAGCGGAAAGGTCGATGCAGTGGTTGACAATCGTGTCATTGGGAGGAAACAGCATGACTTCAGACTTCTTTTCATTGAAACTTAAGAAGTTTAAAGCCATCCAGTCTCTGATGTCAGCCAGGCAGTCGAGCAGAGGCTGAATAGAGTGTGTATCATTGTGTCTTGGGGGGGAAGTAAATTTGACAGTCATCGGCGTAGAGGTGAAAGGGTATGTTGTGTTTCTAGAAAATAGCACCTAGTGGCAGCAGGTATAAAGAGAATAGAAGGAGACATAGGATGGACCCCTGCGGTACCCCCCATTTAAGTGTTGCCGATGCTGAACTCAATTCTCTGATGGAGACACCAAAGGATCTGTCAACACGCTCGTTCCCTCACTAGAAATGGGCATACAATCTTTGACCACGTAGTTTCACACTTACTCCTTGTGTTGCCTCTTCAGGACTCAGCTTGCTGCCCCCCATCAGTCTCCCAAAGAGCCTGTTGGACCTGCTGCAGTTCCCTTTAGGTCACTGTCACCGGTGCAGCCAAGCCATGTTCACCATCATCTACCCTAAACTGTTCCCCCTGCGGGACACGGCCCTGGCGGGAGTGCACCGCAGGTCAGAACGAACCACCCCGTGCTCATGTTTCCCTTACGTAACGACATAACAGACTTCTTTCTGACGTTTCTGTTCTTTGCAGGACAACTGTGAGTTTTGTGGCCTATTGCTGCTCCAGTCACTGCCTGCGCACCTTCGACCTGCAGGGGTGACGTCGTTCCTCCCTCACAGTCCAGCTGCACTCACGAGGGCGTCAGATTTCATCCTATCAACAGAGAGCGAGCTGTGGATGTCGTGCCACGCAGCCGAGCAAATGTTTGTCTGGTCTCCACTCCTCTGATCAACATTTCAGCTCTTGGAACTCAAACAACAAAACAAACTCAAAACAACTCACGGTGTTTCTAACTAACCGACAGGAAGCGGGATTTTCTTATGCGTTTGTGTTAAGTTTCCGCATCGTAACCTTAAGTTTCCGCATCGTAACCATTTTGAGGGACCAGTGCAGCACTGTGCTCAACCACTAACAGTACTGGACCTGAGGCAACTACAAGAGAGCACTTATAGAAGCAAACACTTGGATTAGTGCATTTATCCAGCACTTCATGGAGTCATGTATGAAGTATGTTCATTTGTAGTGTGCGCTGTTTTACTGATTACTGAAGGTTTATTATTTAAAAGTGTGTTTGTTGTATTATTTGCAGCTGTAGGTATAAAAAGTTGTTACATTAACCACCAACTGCGGCACTGAAAATGGAGAAATCAGAAGAAATAGACAATTTGTCACACAAGTCACAGCCGCGGTCACATTTATCAATAAAGAGTTGAGGATTTGGATCACAAACCAAACCTCTCCGTTCCTTTTAAACGTGCAAACTTTGACTGGTTCTGTTCGTATGTTTCATGTGTGTTTAAGTCGTTACAAGCCTTAAAATAACCCACTTTGTGTAAAACTTGACATGAACCTAAAAGCCAAGTTGTTGAAATGCTCACAAATCACATTTGTTGTCGTTTGTCCTCCACAGACTCTGTTTGCGCTTTGTCCGAGGAAAACTGCCGTCTGTTCGCTGTTGTCCTGTTGACGTCTCGCTTGTGTGTTGTAAACTTATCCATCAGCTGTTTCGATTGTTGGGCATTAAACGTGGTCTAATGTTTGAACTTGTGCCTTTCACCAGAGTTCATGAGATGAACGAATGAGCAGACCAACAGAGAACACACCGTGTTTGTACATTTAGAGCTCATTTAAAGCTTTTCTGTCACATCCGCTCTGTCCAGTTCACACTGAAGATGGATGAAGCTGTTTGATGCCTCCGTGTTTAAACATAAATGTAGGATCAAGTCCAAAAGGTCCTGACACAAGTTTACTGAGGAAGCCTTGCTTTAGAGTTGAGTTATACCAAACCACTATGTTCATAAATCACTTCAAAACAGCAACAAGGCCAACCAAAGTGCTGTACAACAAAACAAACAAGTAAAGGACACAGAATAAAATACATCACAGAGTTAAGGATGAGAACTAAATGGCTAGAATACAGAGAAGTTAAATCAACTCACAGTGTCAAAAACCAGGGAATAAATGTGTGTTTTAAAAAAACAAAGAGAGGAAGTCTGTCTGACATGCAGTGGTAACTCATTCCAAAGTCTTGGACCTGCAACAGAGAAGGCCCTGTCACCTGTGAGCTTAAAACGAGTGACTGGAACCAGTAAAAGCATCTGGTCTGCTGACCTCGGAGAGCGCTGTGGGACATATGGCTGCAGCAGATCGGTGAGATAAGAAGGGCAGAACTGTTCAGAGATTTGAAAACATGCAGAAGGATTTTGAAATGAAAGTGAACTGGGAGCCAGTGAAGGGAGGCCAGAACTGGAGGAATGTGCTCTCTTGCCTGCACCAGTTAAGAATCGGGCTGCAGCATTTTGAACCAGATGTAATCGTGCGATGGAGGTCTGACTGATTCCAAAAAGAATCACATTGCAGTAATCAAGCCTGGACGTTATGAAAGCATGTGAAGAGTTCTTGTTATCACACGCCACATGTTTTAGCCCAGCTTTCCAGTCTCCTGTTTAGAGTTCTTTCTTCTGCCGACACAAGAACAATACATCTGCTGTGGACACAATAAAACAAGGTGTGACGCTAAAAGAGCGCCTCCATCATTTGTTCAGACGAATCAGACCCTGGTCCTCTCTGGCTGCCTTCCCTCTGGGACGATCACATCTCAGCCCACTGCACATGGGAACAAGCACACATCCATCCTGCACGCTCAGACCAGCTGGAAACCTCCTCCTCCACCCAGGGCAGCTTCCAAACAAACAGGAAGATTTGTTTGTACAGGAAAGGCAAGCGACAAGAAACGTGTCTGCAAGTTTGCCCTCATTTTTGCACGAACACTGAATTCAGGTGACAGTGTGGAGTGAAGCATGCTGTTCAGTTTTATTCAACAGAAACGTAAAGATGACGAGCTGTAAGCCTGATTTAGCAGATTTTTAGTCCCCGACTGGACTAATATTTATAAAATATGTTGTTTCACTGATTCTTGCTGAACCTTTTTTTGTTTTGTTTGTGCTTGTAATTCTCATTTCCATGGTCTCCAGATAAACCGCATGTCTGACACTAATTAAATCCCTCACTAATAGATTTTATTGTTGTTTGACCAGATGATGCGAATAAGTCGTCATTTATTCATTGATCGTCATGAAATTCATTTTTGCTGTTAAACGTCACAAAATCGAGACCAGTTCATCCCGTGCTGAAATCAGGTCAACAACTATGCCCTGACGAAACGAGAAGAAGCAGGGATGTACAGAAGGACGAGTCTTAAGATGCAGCCACGAGGAGGAATCAGCATTTAAATGCAATAAACTGACGTGAGCAGCAGCTTTAAATAGACGGAGCAGAGGAGGAGGGAAGAAATGCACAAATGTTTCCTGCCATTTTCTAACTTCCAGATTAGCTGCTGAATGTTTTAGGTGTATTAAACCTCTCAGGCCAGGAGTTGAGCAACACACACTCACAAACAAGCTGGTAATATTTTAAAAGAACCGCAGCTTCAAGCCTCTTGACTCAGGCCTGTTTCAAGTTGTCAGCAGTGACGGCCCGAGGGGGTGGCACTGAGTGGCAGCTGCCACTGGGAAAATATATCTTGCTGCTCTTAGTAGGATAGATGACGTCTTTCGTACAATGTTGAAAACCAAGAACAAATAAATTAAATATCCTGAGTTAGAATTTACACAATGCCTCTTGAGCTGTAAAATGCTTTTTACCCTCAACCAAACCTGAACACTTAACGACTGATCAGACTGGAAAGTCACAACATAATGTATCCTGCATTTGGTATTAGTTCACAAAGTCAGTGCTAGGAGAAATTATGTTCTTTTATCAGATTTTACTTTTAGCTAATAGATGGAGTGGGCTAAAATCCTGAAATTGTCTTGAATGTTTTGTGAGAAACTGAGTTTTTAGATCATCTTTGTCTTTATAGCCCTGCACACAATGAATGAATGAATACTGTATGGACTGTGCACCTCATGATTATTTGCATGATTTGTTTAGTTTTTAATGCATTGCTGATGTGACTCGTGGGCAAAATGAGTCTGGATGAGCACAGGCTGCAGTGCAAACAACACAACATGAAACTTTGTGCCGTCACTGAAATTTGTGTAAAAATGAGTCCATAAAGAAATCGTCTAGAAACCCCAGTGACTAAAATAGCGCATAATCTTCTTAATCTAAGTTTACAGACGTGTCTGTGTTAACATTTTATACTTTCCTTTGAAAGTGACAACTTTTCTCTGCTGTGGGAACTCCCTTCGTATGATGTTTGGCGCCATTGTGAGGCTTGGGAATTCATCTTTTTGAATATAGGGGTGGAAGTCCTGATGACATCACTCCAGACAAAAAAAAAAAAAACAACACTCGTCAACAAAACTAGTTGATAAATCACCAAATTTCTATGTGTTTTATTTTATGATTGGAGAGCCAATGGAAAATTTCCACCTTGGTGGACAATAAAGTTTTATCTTATATGATCTTATCTTAATTTAAAAATAATAATGTCTATACTGTTTTTTTTTTCTGATTGTAACTCATTTTTCAAGCAGGGTTAATAAAGTTGTAGACATAAAAACAGTTTGTTAAAAACCAGCTGTATCTGTCGGTACAGCTGACAACAACTGATTGTGATGATGACCTGCACTCAGGTGATGTTAATGAATCTAAGTGTAAAAGTAAACTAGTCCTGCAATAATAACTTTTATACTTCAAGTCAAGTGAAGTTTATGCATCACAAAAACTTTATAGTCACTTACTTGGATGGAAAAAGTGCCAATAATATAAAACTTTGGAAAACACAATCTGCTTTATGCTGCTGAGTTTATGAACAGCTGCTGCAAGTCTTCCACCCAACAAACGAGTCTTTTTCTGCCAGTCTCCACACGGACGAAGCAGAAAAACAGAGCGTCCCTGCAGCTTCTTCCTCTACGTCCCTTTACGAGCTGTTTAAGATTCACGTGCTTGTTTACGTGAAGTCCAAGACTCCAGAGGCAAACAGCTGTGCACACCAAGACAAATCACAAAGACACAGAACCCAACGTGTAATGTGACGTAAGCGTTTGACCTCTTGATTTAGAAAGACTCCTTTGGATACACGGATGCTTCGGTGTTTACGTGGCACACTCATTGTAAAGTGAAGAGCAGCACATCCACTAAAAAAGAGATGAAGTGACAGAGAGCACCAAGACTGTGCAAGATGCTCAAACTGCTCATGTTTTTAAATGCCATCCTCAGAGGGTCAGAGTCTGTGCACTGTGAACTGCTAAGTGATGCTGTGTGTGTGTGTGTGTGTGTGTGTGTGTGTGTGTTTGCAGATTCAGTTCAGGCAAATGGATAAGGTCAAACATGTGGAGAGGATGGACAGAAGAAATCTGAGAAGAAAATAGTATATCTCTCTACGTTTTTCCCTCACAATTATTTTTATGTGCAACACCAAATCCACTTATCAGCTCTGAAAATACTTTGGTTTCACACACTGATTCCCTTATTTGAATTCAGTTTATTGTATTGAGAGAAACTTAAAATCTGTTAGTTTGATAGTTGATGTTTAACAGGATTAATTGAAGAAGATTATAAATCAAGTTCATAATCTGCATTTTTCAGATCAATTATCGAACTGAATGTCCGGGCAAAGACAGAGTTCAGAAGTCAACATGTCTTTGAGCAGGAGCTGCCCTACCTTTATCCCGATGCCTCTGACGTCAGAGGGCGCGGACATTTTGTAGGCAGCTTCAAACAATCAAGACCGGAAATATAGAGATCAGCCTGTCAAATTAAAAGTCAGCAAAAAATAAATAGGCGCATGTTAATCCGTTTTGTTGGCATGGAGAAATTGTGTTCATTCCAATCTTATATGTGTAAAGTTAAAGCCTTCAGCTTGATTAAAAGCAAAGTAAAAAAAAAAACATTATTTTAGTCAATTCTTTTGGAATGGTTAATTAAAAACATTAGGGGCCTACTACTTATTTTACTAGGAGTACTGCATTTGATGGCAGAAAAATTCAAAGCTAAATGTATTCTTTGCTCACTCGTTTTCTGTATCTTCCTGTTTTGTTGTCATTGTTTTTTGCTGTCTATCACAGGGCCAGCTCAGAGAAACAAAGAAAACAACCATGCATGCTCACGCTCAGACCCACAGTCAGATTTATAATCCAATTAACTTAACACATGTGTTTCTGAACTGTGACGAGAAACCAGAATAGCCAGAGAAGAAAATATGCAAACTGCACACAGGAAGGCCCCAGCCAAGTTTTGATATCATGAGCTTCTTCACGTGGAGTAACAGAGCTAATCAGTCAGTGCAGCAGCATATATTACTTGTATTTCATTTAAGGTCATCCAATGACAATAAATAAATAAATAAATAAA